AATGTGTGTGTGTGTGTGTGTGTGTGTGTGTGTGTGTGTGTGTGTGTGTGTGTGTGTGTGTGTGGGGTGGATTTAATGGGCATGAACAACTTTGTGTAAAAACACATTAATAAACAATAGATATGTGTAATATAAATGAAGTTGCAAACACAACCCCAAAACAAATGAGAAGGACTCAATAAAAAACATATAATTTAAATGTTTCAGGGTTTCTAACAGCAGCATCATCATCAGATGTTGAGTACCTCGGGGTTGTTGTCCTGCGTCTCCTCGTTGTGCAGCAGTCGCATCACCTTTCCCGAGGAGTTGAGGCTGACGTAGACCTGGAGACAGGGGTAACGGGAGCTCTTCCAGCACTCTGACCCACAACTGTATGAACAGTTTACATCCCACATGATGGTGGAGTTCACGATTGTGCAGCTAACCTCTTCAGTCCACACACTGTGGGATAGAACAATGATTTCCTACTTGATACAGGGATCATATATCTCAGCATTGATCCAACAACAACTGTGTCAACACAAAAGTGAGCATGCATTTGTTGCTTCGTGGCCTGAAAGTGTCTCTACCTTTCTGCGTAAGAGCGCAGTATGGTGATTCCCACGACAAAGTACATCATGACAGAGAAGAAGACCATGCCTAGGCCCAGCAGTATGGCTCTGTCCTCTCCTGCTCTCAAAGCTGTCACCGTCTTCCTCTTGTCCAGCACCTCATACTCACGGAACTTCTGGTAGATGGATCTTGACATTTGTATCAAAGAGGATCAAGTTTGACAGTTTTCTCTCATTTTATCACAAACAGGTAAAACTCTCAGTAAAACTCCCAGTAAACTCTGTGTGTAGTAAAGCTGGGCATACACTGTGTGATGTTCCAATACCTGCGGTCACTTCTTCCATCTTTTGCTTTACTTCCTGCCCACAGAAACATCCTGTCTGAGGCATGTGGGAAATGAAGTCCACCGTTGCTGACCCTAAGACATGCAGATATGGTGAGTGAGGTAGGGTCTGGTAAAAGAGGAAGTGACATATATGTCCTCCTAAATTATAAAACACAATCCATGCAGCTGGAATTAATAGAGTGGTTTTGGTAAGAGTGCAATGCCCCCAGAAAAGTCTACCATAAAAAAGGGCTATCACATAAAATGACAAAAAAAGTTATTGTGATCATTAACCAGCACAATTATGGCTTGTTTAGGCAAACAGTAAGTCTATGAACAGCTGGACGCCTTCTCCTACAAACATAAAATTCTTATAGTCAGCTAAACATAAGTTTAAAAAGCAACTCAAGGATCTTTGCTCCATAGTAAACTAGCAGAATAACAATTATTTTTTAATAGGGGAGAGGGAGTCCCTATGGTCATCCATCACAGATTCCGATGAACAGTGAGGAAAATACTTCTGGTCGACCAGCAAAGAAACTAAAAAGGAG